CGGGCACCCCTGGGCTGCGGGGCCTTTTCTGCACCGCTGTGGCCAATAGAGCAGCGGGGGCGGGCCGGTCCAGAGTCGTTAGGCCCACGCCCAGCCGGCCCTCCGAATCCCCAGTCCCAGCTCAATCCACGCCCGCCCTTTCCCCCTCCCCAGTCCCCGCACCCACAAACCTACACCTGCATGCGGGGAAAACTGGCTGGAGCCGGGCTCTGGCGCCACGACCTCTCAGACTCAGAAAGGGGGATTCTTGCAAAACCTTCAGGGGTGCTGGGTAGAAGTAATTGGGCACAGTAATTTGGATCAACACACTAAGCACCCACTCTTGATTACAGGAGCTAAGCTGTTTCAGTGGTGGGGGACCTCGCTTCTACCAAGGAACCCACAGGTGTCTTTTTCAAATGTGTTTTATCCAATGCAATGGACACTGTTGATAATAAATAAAATAGATTCTTTTCCCAAAGGACTCAACTTGCTTGGTGTATTACATTCAAAATGCTATGTTCGAGATAAATTTTAATTTTTAAAACAGGGTTAGATATGGAATGACATTCTGTAGCCAATATCCCGTCCTCCAGAAGAATTTAAAGCCGTTGTGCATAACGAGAACCAACCACTGGAAATGTGTACATGAATGTATAGTAAACAAAGTCTTCTCATGTGTATCCAGTAAAATAGGCAAGACTTAGTTCTGATTTCTAAAATGTGATAAAAACAAACAAACAGCAGCAATGTTTACCTAAATGCCCATCTTTAGAGGAAAGACAGCCATTCTTTTGAGTGGCAAAATAACTGTAGCTCTTAGGGGCTTTTTAAGGTCGTTTTGCTGGAAGTATTAAGGATTCCTATATGCTTCTGCAGACAGAAATGAAAATCTGAATGACTGTTAAACTTGTGTTTAAATCTGAGAAAACCAGTGGAGTTTTTGAACAAGCCCTTATATTGCACTCATATATGGCACATGTCACACTGTTCTTAGAGCCATCCAAACAGCAAATTATCCTCATAACCCCATGAGGTAGACACTTTGTATCTTACAGGAGAGGAAACAGGCACAGAGAGGTTCAGGAACTTGCCTGAGGTCACAGCACTGGGGAGTAGAGTTCCTCTCAGGTAGTCTGTCTTCAGACTTGGAATTCCTAGTCACTACGTTGTATTTGTGTATTTGTGTTGTTTTCTAAGGCAAAGAAAGAAGGAAAAAGTTTTTGCATCATTAGATAACGTTGCAAAGAAATCAATGCATCAAATCTCAAGAACAGATTTTTTGTTTTGTTTTGTTTATTGTGAAGGGGTGATGAAAAACTAGGGTTTTCATCGGGACCTGGGAAGTAAATGTGGCAGCTTTTTGTGTGCTATTACCATGACAGAGTAATCAGCAAGCCTGCTTCTTAGTGGCGTCCATAAAAATAAAGAAACACAGAGCTTTGGAAACTGACATTGCCAGGTCTCCGAAAAAGTCCCACACACTTATTTTAAGCCAGCTTTCACTGTGTGAGGATCTGTGCAGTCTGCCCTACCTCCTCCCTCCTCTCCCC